AGAAGGGGGAAGTCCATGTGGGTTGAGTAGCTGCCTCTGTCTACTCAGAGGTGGCTTCATGGAAACAGAGACTGAGTACGGTTTTGGAAAACAGGTAAGATTTACATAAGTGGAGTTGAGGAAGGAGAACATTTCAGGCAGGGAGAGGAACATGAGAGAACTCAGAGGCAGGAGACCACCATGAGACATGCATGAGCCCCCACAGGGCGTGTGTTAGGTAAGGATGGAAATAAGAACGGATGGGTGTGTGTGTGTGTGTGTGTGTGTGTGTGTGTGTTTGGTTTTCTGAACCATAACTTGGAATGCATGTTATAAATGCCTGTGCTTATGAAGCATGGCCTATAATATATTGTCTAAATCAAAACTACTTGCAGGTGAAAGTTACTGCTGCTGTAACATCAAGGGTCACCTGCATCAGGGACACTGTCACCCTAACTTATGAGGACATTGCCATAGTCTATTTCAAACCAAAGTTGTCCTGAAAATCCATGACCTCCTGCTCCCTGGTTGATATTTGGGGGCTTTAGTGGAGGGCAGCGACATGACAGGCCATGACGACTGTTGAAGGAGAGTTTGCTCCAAAGCCTCGGGGCTGAACCCGATGACCTTTAACATCCTTCCTCTTTTATGTTTCTGTAGTGGCAACATTCAATACAGTAGAATGTCTGTGAGCAGTTATTTAATGGGATTAAAGTTATTTTCAGATCAGTGACAGTACCCAAATTAGTAACTGTTTCTTTTTCTGGTCTAGAAAGGAGAAAGGGATGCAAAAAATAATGAAATTGGAACAGAAGGATCACTGTTTCCCAACATGACTATGGAGGGAAATTTAAATAAAATTCCAACTGGGGCAACTCCTGTTTGGTGATTTCATTTGGATGGACATTTGTTCATTCATTTGTTCTATTTAAGTGTTATAGGCTGAGTACCCATTATCAGAAACTTCAGTGTTGAGAGTGACAGTGAATTGTAAGCAACATCCTCACAGTTTCGTGGGTAGAAATCATTCTCATGCTTGCTGATAAGATATACAAAGATGTTCATCCAATATTCCCAAAGAAACTCACGCCTCCCGAATAATCCCCAGAGCACATAACCAGCTCACAACTATTTTCACACTTAGGATACTTGCTTACACCATATGAAGATATACACTACCTTAGTCAGACCTGCCTAGATGCATGTAGACACAGACAGGCAACCTGTAGTAGCAAGGAAGCAGATTTTGTGTGGGACTGACCTGGGTTTGAATCCTGCTGTTCCATCTATATACTGAGTGAACTTTGGACACATTGTTTCACCTTTCTTGCCTCCATTTCTAATTTAAAGTATTGTTAAGATCGACCTCAGTGGTTCTTATTTCTGAACTTGATTTTTTAAATGGTTGGTTCCCAGCCTGGAGCTACCACATCAGACTGTCTGGTGAGTGGCGCTGGGCATGAGTGTGTTCAAAGAAACAAACTCTACAGACGATTCTGTGTGCTCTCACACGGGTGGGTAGAGAGCCTCTGGTCTTCATAAAGAGAGTGTCAGCACCAAAGGGGGTGGCCTGGTCCTCGCACCAGCTATGGTAACTGTTATAGGTTGTGTTGTGTAACCCAGAAACATATGCTATAGTCCTAACCCCAGGGACCTCGGAATGTAACCCTATTTAGAGATAGAGTGCTGCAGATGTAG